TTTTTCCCCCATTTTGTCTCTCATAGTTGAGGTATACCTATGACGAAAATTACAGGCCTCTCTCATCTTTTTAAGTGGGAGAACTTGCACAATTGGTGGCTGACTAAATACTTTTTTGCCCCACTGTATATAATTTCCAAGATTCTAGCCAAGCCATTCCCTATTAACTCCTTGTCTTGCCTGATGACTTCTGAATCAAAAGAAACTGCCCTTCCTGTCCCTAAACACCACATACACTTATCCTCCAGTCCTACTTGCTCTTTTATTCTACACCTTTCTCAATCTTTCTATGACTTTGTATGCTCTTTTATTTCTTCAGCAGTCTATTTTATAAGCCTAAGTATACTTTGGTCCAGTATTTGAAATGCTCTTCTCCCCCTCTGAATCATACAGAATATTCTGTTTCCTAATTGTAAGTATTACCTATTTTATTTAATAACTTCTATTACACTGACCTCTTCTTGTTCAGCTTCATTATTGTTGTGCACAGTGCTTTATCTTCCCAATCTCTCAAGATTTCTTCTCAATTCACAGCCATTCCAAGTGACATTTTAATCCTAGTTCCATTGGTAATTTTCACATTGGTAACTGACCACAAATTTTAGTTCTTACATCAAATTAAATCAACCACTGAGTGACAATTCACCATTCAATAGAAGAAAATATATGTAGCTCAGGGTTGAACTGTGGAGTCCTTGGTGCTCTCTGAGCCTGGTTGTTTGCTTCCAGATGTTTCATTACCCTACCAGGTAACATCACCAGTGCTACTGAGTGTGGGGTTTGCTCCCTGTTTAGGTATGCGTGCAGAGAGAATAGTTGTTCCTTAGTGGAGATTTGCCTACAGGCAAATGTTTCCCATTTGCATGCTTTCTGCAAGCAAACAACCAGGCTCAGAGAGCACCAAGGACTCTACAGTTCAACCCTGAGCTACACATATTTTCTTCTATTAGAACCACATATGGGCGTCAAACGCTTCAGAAAGCATGCAAATGAAGTAGCAATAAAGAAACCATCAGACATGCTGAACCTCCACTCATTATTTAGAAACACATTCTTTGTTGCTGTAGGTATGTAAGAAAATCAAATCTGGGATCACCTTTATACATACAAGTTTAAGAGCATGGGTTCTGCTACGTCCCAGGTTGGTTCTATACCGGTTTGCTTCTAAACCAGTTTGTGTCACTGTATGTATATTTCAGAATCATGTTTCCATATAATACAAACAAAATATCTCCCTGGAAGAAGTATCAACATCTGTGCAATCTGCTAAAAAAAACTGAATTTCTCTTTCTTTCATCATCAAAAGGTCTGGAAGAGTAGTCTGTGTTCCACAATAACATTTTTAAGGCAAATTATCTATTTATTATTGACGTTAATATTTTCTAGAAGTACAGAACCTACCAATCACTGGATGGTATATTCTGAGCCGTAAAAGCAAATTGATGGAGTCTGCAATAATTTTCACAGTGTAATTTGTGTGTTGATGTAATTGCAAACACACATTTACTGCCATCTCAGTGGCAGGAGGTTTGATCAACATATCTGTCATTTCCTTTGATTCATTCCCTAGCATCCACACAGTAACCTGTAAGCAAGATAAAAGAGAAATAAATTCTAAAAAGCAAGAGTCCAAGGTCTATCTCTAGAATATAAATTGTTTTAAATTTTAATTCCAACTCTCCAGAGAATTCTAGAGATTATAGTTCTGCAAGACTAGCATTACTATACAGGTTCCCAAATCTTTGAAGGGAAAAGTTATGGCAATTGGTTAAATTACAATGACACCGAGTTGGACTCAACTTCTGGTACATACATGGATGAAAGCTCACCATCTCTTTCTGCAATCTGCTTAATCCCATCCATCTGCTATCTTCCCTTTTCTCAAATTCCCTCAGCCTTGTCCAGCATAGTCACTATTTTCTCATCTAACATCACCTTGCATCATACGCCCAAAAATCCACTATGGATTTACTTCATACTTCCCCTTTTAATCCTATAAACAAGGGTAACTCTGTCAGCTCATACGCCTGCTGACGCTGCTCTTAGAGCTACCCTCATGTCAGTGAACCCTCTTACCATGTCAAAGTGGTAATCCTCTGGGAGGGCATGGCAATTAAACTGGCAAAACATTAAAGGGTTTTATAGTGAGATATATTCTTATACCTCTGAAGACAGCAAGAAACTAGACCAAGATAATAAATCTGCATTAAAAATGGTTTTGTTTTACCAAAACCTTCTGGGTAATAAAGAAGCAGTTCTACACAAGTACAATTGTTTCCAGAAATTTTACCATGAATCCAGAACAATTCTGTCCATTGTCCAGCAAGAGGAAATTATAGCCATCCAAATAACTTTATTTCAAAAATCACTTGCCTTTATTACCAGCATTTTAATAATGCTTATACACTCATACCTACAGTAGACAGTCTGCCTGTACTAGGTAACAAAGATGATTTTATCTTTCAAAGACAGAAGACATCAAATGTCTCACGAACTTGATAGGTTTCATTTACTCCAGCACTTCCGTAATGTCTCTTCCATGACACACAAGGGTCTTTCCATGTAACATTAACAAAGTCTTGCACTTCTACAAAAGAAGACAAAAAAAATCAATCACATACACATTATCCAGCAAAACTTTTAAGAAAAAGGCATTTATCAAGCTAATTTATTTTTATCATGTACTGCTAATCAGTTGTAAATTAAAATGGTAAGAGTGTAAGAAGAGCTCTCAAAGCCTTATCTAGTCCAGTATTGTTATTATTGTTATTGTTGTTAATTAGGCTTTTCCATGACCATCAACCAGATGCCTATCAAAAGCTCAAAAGTTAAATATGAGCATAACCCCACTTTTCCACTTGTGTTCCCTATACTAGTATTAAGAGCCATGCTGAACTCAATAAGATATTAATATAAAGTCATAATGACTAACAATGTAGCTGGAAGCGGAGTAGAAAATAAAGGTCTAAATCAGAAGGCAGAATTATAAATTAACTGATTGGTATTAGGTTTCCTCAGGCACAGCTGAAAATCCAGACACTGACCCCTTATTCTGGAACTGATTTACTCAGCAGAAGACTCCCAGACACAGCTCAGCTAAATCAGCTGCTTTGTTGCTGACTTGAATGAAGCCATATATAAGAGAACTGCCTTCTGCAGTTTACAACAATCAAAGCCACTCAGGACCAATCAGCTTGAATTCTTCCCAGTTAACAGGGCTCAGATGTGTCTCAGTCACTTCAATCTGCCCAGCTCAAGTCCAACTTTGCTCAAAGTTGAGCAACTTTGTCTAACAGATGTCATGAATATTCTTCCCAGTGGCCTTGTAGGAGTTCTCCCAGCTCCTCTTTACCCAGGAGGGACCTGATTACCTGAAAAAGGGCTGCCGGGCAGTTATCTGCAGATGTAGTATGTTGACAGAGTAGTTCTCATGACCTGGGAACCAATGGCTCTTTTCAACTTGATTCCTAGTATCACTTCCTCCCTATTTTCTCCTTCCCCTTTTCCTCTTGAATATGGAAGCGTCAGAGGATTCTCCCCTTTCTTCTCTTGCTGTAGACAGCCATACAGTAGGTCATTGTGCCTCATTTTTTAATTCCATCTCTTTGTTGATGTGCTGCCCCAAGTTAGCCATGAACACACACCAAGGAGTTTAGTTGCAAGACTTTGGGCTTGTGCATTTACAAGCAAAGACAAGCGGGGGGTGTGCAAGTCCCAATCCCTAGAGAACTTGCCTGCAAAGGATTCTAAATGGCCGGAGTCCAAGTGGGGGAAGCAAAAGCACAGTCCGGTCATGGTCCACGAGTCCAAATGCAGGATGCTGGGCAGGCTAGGTTTCAAGAATTTTCACAGGCAACGGGTTCAGGAGACAGTGTTCTGGTAAGCAGAATGGTTGTTTCCAACGGAGGATTTCTGGTGATATAGTTCTTATATAGTACTTGCTGCAGGTGCAGGCAATCAAGGGCCTTTGAACTGCTTGATGTTCTGCACACCATGCTGTAGGGCTGTGGGAAGGCCCTGAATCCTATCTATCACCTGATTCTGCCAGCTGCCCTGCATGGTTCCTGGCTCCATTAGGTTCAGGTGCCTGATTGCTCAGCTTTTCTGGGGCCTCTAGAGGAGTGCCCTCCAGCAATTCCTGGCATTTGGCCAGCATGTCCAAAGCAACTTCTTCCAGTTACAACTCTTCTGAATCCAGGCTGGCCATTATATTTGGCTGGAGCTGACAAGTTGTTTCCCCATCCTCTCTATCCCTCCCTTTTCTTGCCTGAGAACAATGGAGAATTTCCATTTCTTTTTCAGCCAAAGCCAATGAGATCTCCCTCATTTCAGCACTCTCTATCCCTCCCTCCTTCCAATATTAGACAGGTGGAGGGCATCCATTCTGCTTCTTTGTCAAGAACTCCTCCTCTTTCAGAACTCCCCCATATGTTCAGGTGTGGCTGTCTCCATCTCTCTTTCATCAGTTGTAGAAATGCCTGCTTGTCTCTCCTTATACAAGTCCTACTCCCCTCAGCCTAACTCTGCAGTTAATCTGGCAACTTTAGTTTGTAAGGATATTGCAAATAGAATTGGTGAAGATGTAATGTGTGTAACTGCACTGTTGACTGCCACAAAAATTGAGCAACCAGATAAATTAGTCTGTCCCTCCTGTGCCAAGAGCCCAAAATAAGAATATAAGAACATAAACATTATCCTGCTGGATTGGACCCCTGGCCCATCTAGTCCAGCAGCCTGTTCTCACAGTGGCCAACCAACTGCATGAGGAAGCCCACTAGTCTCCCAGCAGATGGCCTTCAGAGGCAGTTGCACTGCCATCAAGGCTAATAGCAATTGATCCCCACTTCTCCACTTCAAATTCATCCTACACACATCAAGAAGAGAGAGTGGGGCAGAGGTTATGCAAGGACAAAGAGGGGTGCTCTGAGATCAGGAGGGAATGGTGGACAACTGGATGCATTTTTAATATGCCTGGAAGCTGCAGGCAAAAGATGACAGGACTGACCTCTATAATTACAATGAATGGTCCGAGGGGAGGGGAGGGGAGAAATCTGGTAAAAAACCAATCATGGTCTCCAACAGTGGAGAAGAGGGCTTTGTGGGGATGATGGTCAACAGATCACTTGTAGGAGATCTAGGTATGATGCAGTTGATCCTTGAGATACTGTACGGCTTGAAATTCTGGGAAAAAATGCCTCCAAAATAAAGGGCCAGGAAGCATTCAGTAAAATGGTAATATCTGACGAGGCATGAACTATTATTATAAGTGAACTCAGCTATAGGTAAATGATCAAGCCAACTCTCTTGCTGGTAGTTTACATAATCATCAAGATGGTATTTGTTATTTCTGTTTTTCCATCTGACTGTCAATGATGGCAGAGAACAAGTGGAATTTTACATCCAATAACAAATAGAACTTTCTGAAAATGTACCATGAATTGTGGACCCCTTTTAGAAGTGAGATAATGAGGCAAACCATGGTTCTGGAAACTGTGACAGAAAATGAAATGAGCCATCTTTAAAAAGAGAGAGAGAGAGAGTGAAATGACCTCCCTATTTTCTCCTTCCCCTTGTCCTCTTAAGTTTGGAAGTGTCAAATGACTAGCATCTAGGCCCCTGTCATGTAGTAGGTCAGTTACAAAGCCCAAGGAACATATCCCTGGATTTCTATGAAGAAGGGAGGAAATAGGAGGGGATGCAATAGCCCAAATAATTTGAGGTCTAACATAGCAACATGTTGCAAGAACACAAGTTCACCAAAAGTCAGAGATGAGTAGTTTTAAAAATTCCAAAATGCCCAACTAGCTGACTGTCACAGCACAGCTGTAATTTGTCTGCCCTCAAGCTAGGAGGGAAGTATTATGTCATTGTAGAGCAGTTCTACCCATTTGCTAGAAAGGAAATGGGAGGAAAGGAGAGTCTTCCCGAATGTCATCGATCTGATACCACACTTATGGGTCCTGCTCTTGTTGAGTACACACTGAGTCCATTAAGGAGGTCTCCCTTCTGGCCCCAAGAGTTGCACAGGGTTGGCCAGGTGCTGGAAGAGGGAGGCAAAGTTTTCTAAGAGCTGAATTTCTTATACTTTTAAAATGTATTAATTATTCATAACAAATGAACCTATTCCAATTTTATTTTTTTCTTTCTCCAAAAGCTGATACTTTACCAAAAGTAGAGAGAAAAATGTTTTGTCATGTTAATTTTTAAGCCAGGTTCACATCTCAGTTTGAGAATGTACTATATACTATATTTTTATATTAAAATAAAAACTAAATATTTTACACCCCATCTAATTTTAAATGCCACAGATGTGATGACAGGAAAACTGTATCCACAGCCAAACAGGGAAGCATAAACACATAGCATTTTCCTTCTCCCCTTTACCACTCACATAAGAAATAAGCCTTAGATGCTGCAAGAGTTTGGAAACCACTTCAGATTATTTCCCACACCTAGGAATATAAAGTTCAAGTGTACTTTACTACGGATCAAAAACCAGATTAAACAAAAATTCAGTAAAGATGAATTTATAACACCGATTAGTAGTATTTCAATGCAACATGTATTAAATACATAATTTAAAAACACATTCTGCTCGAGTTTATAAATAAAGAATTTATTCTTACCTTCCAAATCACTAATCCAATTCATGTTACCAAATTCAACAATTTCTTTTGGATCAAAAAGAAGCTCCAATAATCTCAGGTATATGACAAAATGGAAGCTTCACTTTTTCCCACCCACAATGAACTTGAACCAAAAGGTTTGCTCTGTGCATTATTGAAAATGAAGCTCTTGCAGGACACGGGAGCTCCAGAAGACTAATATTTTCTTAACTTCACATTATGTCTCTGTGCCAAGTTTAGTTTCAATCTGCATTACTAGATTTGCCATATCCATGCTGTTAATAAAAAAGCCACTGGATGCCAGTACTGTTCTATTAAAATGCAAGTCCTCAAAACTGAACCATAAAAACTTCACAACCCTTCTTTTCAAACCAGTCCTAAAAACGGAGTAAGGATGACTGGTTGAGACAAAATCAAAAATTTGGGATGGCAAATGGGTCATAGATAATAGACTTCATTTTGCTGTAGTTTGACTTAGTTGTCCAATCTGTATCACACTGTAATCAATCTCAGCAGTAAAAACTAGGAACTAAGGGACAACCCTGTCCTTAGGATATCATTATTTAAAAGTTTACACCCAATGCTATAATTAACTGCTAGCTATATAGGGTTTTTTTTTAAAAAAAAGTTAATTATAGCCTAATCTGATAGCCATTCTTGTCAAAGATTATGGTATATATCATTCAATATATAGCATCAGACTATGGGGAGGACTGTTCTAAATATTCACCTCTAGTTCTATTGTGTTTGTCAAGAATCTTTTTTATTGATAGAATTGTCTGGATTAGCTACCATTTCATTATGCATGTCAATTTGAGATTGTATAGGCCTCCCTTTCCTAAACAGCCCATCAACTCACCACCCTGAGAATATTCGAAAGAAAAGATAAAGATGTCCTCAAGTCAAACTCAATGCTTGATGACTATATGGACTCATCCATGCATTTTTCTTGGCAAAATCCAAGATTTCTTTTCTATTTCATAGTCTGGCCTCCCAAACCCTGGAATTCCCTGGTGATTTTCCATCAAAGTACTAACCAGGCCTGATCCCAGCTTAGCTTCTGAATCTAGAAAAGATCAGCCAAGTGCTCACTCTCTCTCACAAACAGAAGTGGGAGACCTCTTAGAAAATTTGAAATTGTAGCTCAGTTATTTGGGGAAGCACTGCATCTGGGGAATTCAAACAGATCTCTTCAGCTCAGGAATCAGATCAGGAAATATTTATAATATTGCTCTCAATCTGTTTTCAGTGATATTCCCACTATAACATTATAAATGCAACAATAAAATAAATATTAACACAACTTCTACAACAATCACACTGAGGATTCCATTAAGCACTTACTTTTACATCTTAAATCCAACATTTCCCAAGATCCGTTTCTGGTGCAAACAGAATGACTTTTTGTGCCTGTGGAATAGAAACCTTTCATGCAGTTGTATTTTACGGTGCTTCCTAGTTGAGAAGTCCCATTCCATATCATGTTTGAGAAAGACAGTACAGGAGGCTGGCCACAGGTTATTTCTAAATGGGATGAGAAGGAATTTTGATTAAGAAATACACCTGGCAATACTACACAATGAGGGTTTATCCCTTTATTTTAAATGAATTCTTTAAAAATACAATTTTTAGACTGTGTTCTATTGTCCTGAAATCCCAGTAATTGTGGTAGGCAGGGTGAAGTGGGGAGACTGCTAATGTAAAACTCCCTTTTATTTCCTAATTGGAGGATGCTAGGCAGCTTTGGCTAAGAATAAACTTCCCACTTTGGGATTGTTTTTTAAGGATAAAGTGGGATCAAAACAAATTTAAGTAAAATGAGTAATATCACTCAAAGGTTCACAATTGTCTGGAATTTTACAACCCGGATCTGGTGGCTCTAATATTAGCCTCATTTAGACATTCATTATCTGGAGCCTTCAGGAACTCCAAATAAACTCTCCCCAACCAGTGTTATTTCAGTGACATACGTACATTTAGCATAAATGTCTGCAGCACTGAAGCCACATTGGCTTTCACGTGAAGGGATGAAGAACACAATGTATGAATAGTTGTATACAGTGGGGCAAAAAAGTATTTAGTCAGCCACCAATTGTGCAAGTTCTCCCACTT